ATATACATTATATTAATCTATATAAATTAACAAATAAAATCGAACTAATTAATAAATCGATTAAAATAATATATATAATGTATGTAATATTTGAATTAATAATACCTGATGATGGGCTAACATATGAAAGTTAAGACTATCAAGTCTATCAATAAAACAAGGATCAATTTTACTTATAAGATTATTTACTGCTTCAGGTAATCTGTGTGGATTAAATTCTATATTTAAATAAATTTCAAATTAATGAGATAATGGTAATAGTAAATATTAACAATTACAAAGCTAAAAAAAATTACCTTGATCATAAGCTTTAACTATAATACCATTATCATATTTTGGATCATAAGGAACATCATCAGTGATATTGATTAAAAATTGAATGCCATAACGTTTATCAGGCAAACTAAAACTTAATCTTTCAGTTAAAGGTGCATCCAGAAGTTCAGTTGGGACTTGAAATTTTCCTGTGCATCGACCCTTTGATAAATCATTAGGATCAGGTTCATTACATACTGTTGGCACTATATAATTTGAACACGAATCCTTGTCTGTTTGAGATATTGCTCTGCCATCTAATAATAAAATAATTCAAATTATTTAAGATTATTTCGATTACAAAAAAAAAAAAAAATTCCCTAAAGTAATAATATAAATCATCGATATCGTTAATTGATTAATAATTACCAAGGTATTGAAGTTGACAATCCATTGAAAAACTAAAATTCGCATTTATTACTAAATCTAAACGATCCAAATAATAATTATTAATCTCGAATAAGGAATTAAAACATTAATCAAGGAATGTATAAATATATGCGTATATATACGATAAATACCTGGTATTGGTATATATGGTTTAGGTATTATCACGCTTGTAGTGATTCTTCCATCGGAGGCAACAGAATATACCATAAAAGCAAAAAATACCATTAATATTATCATGGAAATTATTAAACATGAAAACCTCATGCAAACTAAAGCAAGAGGTTCAGTCCCTTTCCTTTCATTTATTCTTTTTGGTTCATAAAACAATTTTGTCATTTTGAAATTTTTCTCTCTTATTTAATAAAAACACATTAAATTAAAATTAAATATTAAATATATATATATAATAAATAAATATTGGTATAATCAAAACTAACAAAAAGGTAATTATTTATTAATCTATTAACGAATTTATTAAAAAGTAAAAAAAAATTGCGAAATTTTGCCCCGATCTGCAATATGTATTTATTTATTTTTTTGTTTTCTGGCGAATTGCGAGTTAATAATTTTATT